TCACTTGGTAGCCCAGGCTGGCCTCGAACTCACAGAGATCCGCCTGGCTCTGCCTCCCGAGTGCTGGGATTAAAGGCGTGCGCCACCACCGCCCGGCTGATTATTGTGTTTTTAAACTGGTGTATAGACATCTGGGTTTGGGGAGATTGTGATTCTAGGTGCTGATTTCTGGATTGTTTTTGTTGGATGAGTATTTTGTTCCTTGGTTTCTGTTGCCCTCTCTGGTTCTTGGGGGGGGGGTGGTGGTGGCTGTGTGTTGTCTGGTAGGAAATTATTCTGGGATCTTGCCAGGGGTGGCCGCTGGGCATTCTAGTTAAATGTGTTTCTAGGTATTGGGGGCTGACACTTAGGGATGGAGATGGGCTAAGGGGGTCTATAGTGGGGACTAAGGCAAGGTGTGCCACCAGAATATGCTGAGTCCCCTGGGAATGGAGGCAGAGAGGGAGGAGAGGCCACAACAGAAGGCCTGCCACAGAATTGGGCATGAGGCTGGGGAACTAGGTCTGGAGGGAAGGAGGAGAGTGAATATCCAAAGATCGCCTGCTCCCCTGGGGTATTTGTGGCCTATGCCTGTGGGAGGTAGAGGCTTCTTCCATGGATAGCATCCCCAAATTGTTTTTTCAGCATCCAGAAATATACTCCTACAAAATCATGTCTCATAATTGTAGAATTTCGTATCCCAATTTACCATGATGTCCCTATTGCTGTATATTTGGTTTCATTCTATTTTCTTCACTATCATCAAGACATACTTCCTTCAGTCATTCAAAAGAAGACTTTGTGAATGCTTAACAACGCTAGCCTTTCCTTCTCTGTGTGCCTCAATGGGCATGGTAGTTCCTCTACTTGCTCAGGGAACTTGAAGTTCTGGGCACTCTTAGCCGAGCTAAGATCTTAAGCGTCAGATTGGAAAATTCTATTATTTATTTGTTTAGTGTGTGTGTGCGTGTGTGCGTGTGTGTGTGTGTGTGTGTGTGTGTGTGTGTGTGTGTGTGTGTGTGTGAAGGTCAGAGGACAGCTTTCAGTAGTGTCTTTCCATCTTGTAGGATCCAGGGATCAAACTCAGATTATCAGGTTTAATGGCTGAACCGCCTCACGAGCCTGGCTCCTTCTGTCTCTCCACTTGTTTCTCAAGTCAGGAGTTCAGGTTGTAAAAGTAAATGCCAAGTGATGTTTTTCAGGATCCCCAGAAGTTTCCTGACATCCCAGGAAAGTTCGTGAGTGCTCTAGATGACTTCCCCATAGAAACACCCAAAGGAATCCAGATGTTCCAGGTGGGTAAGGGCTTTGTTTTATCTATGCATTTGGACAAGACATGCATTATATACATGTGCCTCTCTTTTCAATAACTTCATTATGAGTAAATATACAGTCTTTAAAAGCCAGCCAATGTCACATGTGGTCAAACGTACACAATTTGCACAGTTTCCTCAGGGCTGCTGGAGGAATTAGTCTGAATCTTCCTTCTCTTCTTTTTTCAGGCTTGTTACCTAAAATTTATCCTTCACTGTGTAGATCTCTGACCTCCCTTTAAATTCTTACTCAACATTAAATGCCGTTCCAAGCCCTGCCTTGCTTTACTACAATTGCCCCAAATCTCCCAGGAACTTGACTATTTTCATTACCCTTTATCAGTTGTGCAAATTATGTTTTATTGCAAGCTGAAGCAGAACATATTAGTTTGATGTGTATTTGTGTGTGTTCTAATTCCTTAGTTAGACTGAAGAATCCTGAGGACATGAATGATGTCTTCTTTGCCAAAGAGTATTGCAACCAGAATGTATCCCTTACCATATACTCAAAACATATTTACTAACCTCCATTCGCTGACTTGGGTATCCAGTCACCTATAGTTATTCTGGATTGTAAGTAAGCCAAGCACAGCATACCCAGTTGTCAGGTCTAGTGTCCAATATCATACCTTGTTTCCTAACAGTGTGTGGATCCCAATCAACCCCAGCAAGACCCAGTTGGACACCCAGTCATGCACCAGTCGGCCATTAAACACACCACAGGGGAAGCTATATTTGTTGATGACATGCCTCCCGTTGACCAAGAACTCTTCCTTGCTGTAGTCACCAGTACCAGGGCCCATGCAAAGATCACGTAAGGAAACGCACAGTGATGCCATCTGCTACGGAAATGCGCCCACCATTTCACATTCAAATTGAGAGCTTATTACATATTTAAGTCAACTTAGGATAATCATCTTTTCTTGGTGAGAATCAGCCATTTTTAAAGCATGGTTATAAGGGAACCCATGGCCTAAAGTTAGAACACCTGCCAATATTTTCCAGCATAGACTATTACTCCGTGATTTAGTTGTGATGCTCATCCCAGATCTCCCTGTCTGAGGAGTCATTTGTACTGGACTGTGAGCTTTCCTCTGCAACCTTGTCATCCTCTTCATGTTTTTCCTCCCAGATCGCTCGATGTGTCGGAAGCCAGGGCATGTCCAGGGGTGGTTGATGTGATTACAGCCGAGGATGTTCCGGGAGATAATAACCACAGTGGAGAGATTTTCTATGCACAGAGTGAGGTGTGTGATCTGTATGCGGTTTGTTATCTAACACCCTGCTCCAATGTCAAAACCATTGCTTGTGGCTACAACCTCCGCAACTTCATTCACTAGAACCCAAGGTCCTCAGTCACTCTGGCACTCCCTCTGAGATGACTCACCTTGAGATTCTGACAAAAAGCCTTACGTCCTCTCAAGGAAGGTTTCTAACTGTTGGGAAAGTCACCTAAGCAATGGGAAGCATAAGACATTAAAAGGAAGAAGAACGGCAGAGTGACTGAGCCGCTCTGTGTGCTGTGGGAACAAGAGCGGCGTGGGCAGAGACGACAGAGGGCAAATCATTAAACGCAAGTGACTAAGTTCTGCGCATGCGCAACTTTGATCCGTCCGGCTCAAGCTACTGTTTGAAATTGATTTTCATGAGTAGAAAATGGTCTTCCTAAGCCAGGTGTGGTGGTACACGTCTTTCATTCCAGTGCTCAGGAGGCAGAGATAGGTGGATCCCTGAGTTCGAGGCCAGCCAGATAAACCTTGACTCCAAAAAAGAAAAGAAGAAAAGAAGGAAGGAAGGAAGGAAGGAAGGAAGGAAGGAAGGAAGGAAGGAAGGAAGGAAGGAAGGAAAAGAAAGAAAGAAAGAAAGGAAGAAAGAAGGAAAGAGAGGAAAATGGTCTTCCTTTTGGTCACCAAAACATCAGTAGGCAATGTAAGAATGTGAGAGCAGTAATTCCTTTTGGAAAACTTTTATTTTTTGCCTTTGTTTTGAGACAGGATGTCATGTATCCTAGGCTGGCCTTGAACTCATTATGTAGCCATAATGTGCTCCACATATCTAGTTTACGTGGCGCTGAAGAGCTGAGGAGCCCAGGGCTCCATGCACACTAGGCTAGCACGGTACCGACTGAGCCACACTCCCCCAGCTCCTGAGTCTGTTCTAACTAACGACACGTGGCTTTTCGGCAGGTCATTTGCGTGGGTCAGATCGTCTGCGCTGTGGCTGCGGACACCTACGCCCACGCAAAAGAAGCAGCTAAACTCGTGAAGATTGCTTATGATGACATAGAACCAGCGATTATCACCATAGAGGTAGGACTCTGCCCATCCCCAGGAGTAACCAGGGAGTCAGTCACACTTTGAACAGAGTTCGACCAGAGGGCCATGGGATAAAATAATCTATGCTTCAAGTATACTTTGGCCAGCGTCACCCGAAGGTTTAGAGTAGTCTCCAGTGATCTATCTGCGCCTCAAGTCAGGGCATCCTGTCTGAACCCCTCTTCCCGGCAGCACTTCCCCAGGGATCCGCAAAAATGAAGCACCCTCTACCTACTTCTCCTGTGCCCTCTAAACCAACACCGGAAAAATGACCTCCTATCCACCAACCATAAGTGGGACACTCTAGAGCGCTGTGGGATTCAGGAAAGTCACAGCCCTCACCAGCCCCCCCGGGGCACTCTGCCTCTGCCCACTCCCCTGATCACACACAAGCATTGAAGAGAGGCCCCTTGAGTTCAGAATACAAGTTGACTAAACTTCTCACCCCCCAGTGGGAAGCTTTTAGGTACCCAAACCTGGCTTTCTAAATGTCTAACGTATTGAGAAATTCAAACGTGGGAATCCAAGGCGATGTTGAGAACAGCGCCTGTGATGGGCAATGAGTCCGGTAGACGTTAGCCGCCAGATTGGTTTTGCCATGATCGATGAAGACAAGGACGTGTTATATTTTGTTTCATGTCGTTGGTGTCTGTGAAAGTACTAACCCCGTAGCAGATGCTCAGTGATGTGTGTCAGATGCTGGAGGCATGGGAAGAGAGGCGGACAGGCGGAGGCATGAATAGGGTGCAGCCTCGAACACCCGTGGATTAGCCGCTGGTCTTGCTAAAAGTTGTCAAGTTCATCTTTACCGATTAATCATGCTTTAACTGTCCCTTAAGCTCTTTCCTCTCTTTTCATCCTCTCTTTCCAGCCCCATCCCCAGTCACAGTATTTCCTCATAAAGAACCCACATCCCAGCCAACCTCCCCTCATTCTCACTCTGGCGCCTCACTTATGAAGTACCATTGACTTAAAATGATTCAGGATCCAATTCAAGCCCTCAGTTCCAGGCCATTCCAGAACATTCCAGGCTTTATCTGCCCTCTTCTTGGCCCCTCTTGACTTCACCATATCCTCTTCTTGCCCCAGAACTGACACCTTAGTGACGAACCACCTCAGACAGTCAGTCAGCGATCTGGAAGTGGGGCCATGTTTGCATACCCTTGTACTACCCTCAGCTCCTCTCGGGATCCGTTAGCAACACATCGCCAAAGCCCACAAACACATCCAAGTCAGTTTCTGCTAGCTCAACTCCATGCCAGGCTCCAGTTGTCTTAGTGTGTAAAGATCTGACAGAGCAGAAGGTGGGATTCAGACAGGGACAAATAACTTAGGAGAATTAAAAAAATATATATTCTGGTTTGATTTTCCACTGCAGCAAGCCCTAGAACACAACTCTTTTCTTTCCCCCGAGAGAAAAATTGAACAAGGAGATGTAGACTCTGCCTTCCAGCATGTGGATCAAATCATTGAAGGTACGTATTGCCGTCAGTAGCCGGAAAGAGAAGGCAGCTCCTGAAGCCAGATGCTCGTCTGCCTTGAGAAAACTGAAACTCTCCATCATAAGGCGCTTGTGAAACAGAACTTAGAATGACAAAACGTTCCTAACTCGATGAATTTTGCATGTGTACAAAGCTGCGTGAATTCTACACACATCAAAATATACAATACTTCCAGTGCCCAGAAACCACACACACACACACACACACACACACACACACACACACATACACAAACACACATACACACACACACACACACACAAATGTAATAACAACTAAGTAAAATGTTTAAAATATGCTATGCTAGTATAGGGATTATTTTGAACCGAAGGCAGCTGAGAAAAAAATAGACACAGAAGAAAGCTACGTTTTCTCTATCTAAAAGAAGGGCATAAGGTTCCCTCTGCCCAGGGGTCCTCTCTCCTCTCTTGTACCAGGAAAGGCAGAATGCAAGACAACTCTAGACTCTCAGCATCACAGGAGCGAAGCCCTGGGCGGAGTCCGCACAGCCAACCTCACTAAGATAAACCTTCTCTGCCGTTAGCTTCCCCCATATATTTTCTCCCCGTATTTCACCACTCCTAAACGATCAGAACTCTTTCCGTGTATTTTTAGACTTCTCCAAACATCTGTTTCCACTCCTTAAAATGGCAAATAAGCCTGCTGGCCTGATCACCTCCTGAGGTTTTCATTCCTATGAGTGCTCCGTTCTCACCCCATATATGCACAGGAATGAAACTCCTGTGCGAGAAAAAGTCAACAAAATGTATGTTTAAATTTAGGTTAGATTCAGCATGTGCACTCTGGAAGTGAACTTGGGGAAGAGAGCTTTTTTTTTTTTTAACAAGAAAGAGGATTTTGAATTGATTTTTTAGTTAGCATTTAAAATAATGGATTTTGTTACAATGTTTCATCCCCCTGTCTCGCTGTACTTTGCTTATGTTCTTATTCATCACCACCCACGACTCTCACATCCATCCTTCCCTCTTCTCCGCCTTCCTCCCTCCCCACATAGTTCCCTTCCTGGTGTGTGTGTGTGTGTGTGTGTGTGTGTGTGTGTGTGTGTGTGTGTGTGTGTGTGTGTTGTTAAATCTGAATTCTGCATATGAGAGATCACATGCTGTATTTTCTATTTCTTCAAAGGGACATTGCAGGACTCACCCTCCACAGACCTGATAGACAGTTTTAAATGATCTTTGACTTGTGACAGTGTAGTTGACTTATTTTAGCACAGAGGTCCCTCAGTTAGTCACAAAGTAAGAACACTGTGTTCTAATGTTCACACTGGAGACAGATACCTCTCCTTATGTGGTACACAGCATGATAAAATATGCTGAACCTAGCTCAGGCATATGGCATTATCTCACCTGTTAATGTCCCCTAACTCAGGCATATGGCATTATCTTACCATGTCACCTAACTCAGGCATATGGCACTAGCTCACCAGTTAATGTTACCTAACTGAGGCTTTTGGCATTATCTCACCTGTTAATGTCCCCTAACTCAGGTGGACACTCTTATTATTGTTATTGTGTTGTGTTGGCTTACTTATTTTTACGTCTGAGAACATTGGATTAACAACTTGGACAAACGTACCTACCAGGTTGATGGCTGAGCCTGGATATGTGGCCAGACTGGTCTCAAGTTCAGTACACGACAGGTCTGACCTTCTCACTAAACAGATGGAAACCAAGGCCTAGTAAGGCAAAGTGAATAACCCAGGGCCACTCAACCAGCAGGGCACAGGCAGCATTCACAAAGGTCTCTCAGCCAAATGATATGAAGCCCAGCTCTACAAGCTAGTACAAATCACTCTTTTTTTTCCTTCTTCATTTCATTTATGTGCATGTATTCTACCTACATGTATGTCTAAGCACCACGTGTGTGCCTGTTGCTCAAGAAGACCAGAAGAGGAAATAAGATCCCTTAGGACTGGATTAAGAGAGGGCTGTGAGCCACCATGTGAGTGCTGGGAATCGAACCAGGGTCCTTTGGGAGGACAGCCAGCATCCTAACCACTGAACCATCTCTCCAGTCTCCGAACGCAAATCACTGCCGACAAACAAAACACCCAAGGAGCTCGCACACTGAAACCTGTGTCTAGATACTGTGCTGTGTGTTTGCCTTTCAGGTGAGGTCCACGTGGAAGGCCAGGAACATTTTTACATGGAAACGCAATCCGTCCTGGCTATCCCACAAACGGAAGACAAAGAGATGGTGCTACACATAGGGACACAGTTTCCGACCCATGTGCAGGTAACAGGGGCGCTCCAGAGACCCTATGATAAGAGCCCTCCACCCTTGTCCTTAAACTCCCTGGGTAGTGGACACTGGAAGAAGTCTAGCATAATAAAGATGGAGCAGACCCCTTTAAAAGTAACCAGGAAGTCTTGTGACATGCCAAGGTATAAGACAAGACCCATCTTTCCGCATAGAACAATTAACAGGGTGAAAATCCCAGGGAAGTCAAGCCTAGGAGGGTCGTACTGTACCTTCCCTGTGTGGTCCATTTGTATCTCTGTCCTATGCGATTGTCTCCATGGATCATGGTTCGGTCCATGAGTAAAGCAGTTGCATTCTCAAGACCTTTTCAGCTGCCTCGATAAGCAGCGGCTAAACTCTAGTCCTGTGGTAGTGGTTGAGACCCAAGCAATGGATATACCCGGGGAATAAAGAAGACCCTCTGGTGTCCTTTTCTCAAAACGGACTCCTTGACCCGAGGATGGTGCCGGGCACAAGGGGCTACTTTAAAATTTCCATCAGAGAAAAGAATCATGAGAAGCATTGCTGGGTCACAAGGCTGAGGATTCTCTGTCAGAGTACAGAGGAGCTGGCATCCCAGTGTCCTGAAGAGGTGGCTCTGTGGGAGAAGGAAGCTATCGGCTTCCATTCAAAGCAAAAGGGAACGCTGATGTCATAGCCTCTGACATCACAGTTTCAAGCTTTGAAGCAGACAAAGGCAGCTTTACCCTCAAGCAGCTGGGTGAGCTCTTGGTGGTTTCTAGATATCAATAATGCTTCTTGTAAGTTGAAAATTGTAAAGTGGGGTGATCAAGGTCACCTCTGATGTTCCTGGTGGGAGCTCAGAGGCCACAAAGGCCAAGATCACGAATGTCATCTAACCACCTATACCAGTCAGTTCCACAGCAGCAGGCATGCCCCTAGGCAACAGGCACCCACAGGCTGCCATAGTCCAGGCAGCAACAAAACCATTCCAGGAGAGGATCCGAGTGGACAGTGTCCAAAGAAAATATGCAAATGGCTAGTAAACATAAGATGTCCAGCAGCAGTAGCCATCAGGGAAACCAAGTCAAAACCACTAGGATGGCTATGATTCAAAAAAAGAAAGAAAGAAGGAAGGAAGGAAGGAAGGAAGGAAGGAAGGAAGGAAGGAAGGAAGGAAAGAAAGAAAGGAAGGAAGAAAGGAAAGGAAAAAGAAAGACAAGTGTTTGTAAGAATGCAGAGAAATTGGAACCTCCATAAATTGCCAACGGACATGGAAAAAATAGCATTTTTGTATAGGCGGGGTTTTTCTGTGTCCTGGCAGCCTCTCCCAAATAACCACACGGAGACTTATTATTAATTACAAATGCTCGGCAAATAGCTTAGGCTTGTTTTTTAGCTAACTCTAATAAGTTTAATTAACCCATTTCTGTTCATCTATGTGCTGCCCTGAGGCTCTTTTACGTCATGTATGTACTTCCCATCCTGCTCACTCTGCGTCTCATGGCGTTTCCTCTTGACTCCTCAGACTCTGCCCTTCTTCTTCCCAGCATTCTCTCTGTCCCGAAACTCCTGCCTAGCCATCAGCCAATCAGCTTTTTATTACAATGAGAGTAATACATATTTACAGTGTGCAAACACTGTCCCGTGGCACATTTGCCTTGGAACACAGTTCAGCAGTCTCTTGGGATGCTGGAAAGAGAATGACCACATCACCTCGCAGTCCCATGACTAAGCATGCAGCCACGAGAAATAGAAGCATGTCTGTGAAGACTTACACGTCTAATACCTTATGTGCTAATTTAAACTTCTTTAAGTTTTAAAAGTGTAGGCGCATGTTCATAACAGCATTACTTATAAGAGTCTAAAGTGGAAACAACCCAATGTCCATTAACTGATGACAAAGAAAAAAATAATAATATTCCGTACAGTGGAATATTATTCAGCCATTAAAAAGCAAGGTATACTCATGCATGCTACAGGTAGAGAGCACTTGAAAGCATTATGCTAAGTGAAAGAAACCAGTCACAAAGACTACATATTGGGTATAGCTCTGCTGTGTGACAAGTCTGTAGTCAGGACAGGCTGTAGTCCAGGCTGCTGAGGACTGAGAAGTTAATGGAATCAAGGAATTGCTGCCTGACGAATCATGGCTTCTTTGGGGATGATGAAATTTCTAAACTAGACCATGGGGCTTGTACCACTGTATCAATGGAGGTGTTGGTTGGACTAGTATGCCAGGACAGCACACAGGCAAGAAGGTAAACCATAGAATGCCACTTATGTGGCTTGGGGCCTTTCTCTTGCAGGAATATGTGTCTGCAGCATTAAAGGTTCCAAGGAGCAGAATTGCCTGCCACATGAAAAGAGCCGGAGGAGCGTTTGGGGGCAAAGTGACCAAGCCCGCTCTCCTGGGAGCTGTCGCTGCTGTGGCCGCCAACAAGTAAGGGGTCCAGGGAGCGCTGTGATGTCAGCTGTCTAAGTTGTGTGAGTCCTTCCAACCCCACACCCCACCCCTCCCGCCTCAGCCTGCATCTCAGCTGAAGTCGGGGGGTTGGAAGGTCAGAACCCCGGCCTTCCAACAGATTGCCCTGAAGCCAGCTGCATGCTGCTGCTAGTCAGTGTCCCTTAGCCTGTGCCCCTCTGGTTGGAAAGCAGATGCTGGGAAACCTGACTAAGAAAGCACCCACCCCGGCTAACTCACAGGCTACCGGTACCGAGGGAGGATCCGCGAGAATCTTAGCTCCTTTGTACTCCCCAGCTGGAGAAAAGGCTGCCTCAAGTGAACACAGCAGCTTGACGGGGGCCGGAAACCAGAGTCCCGAATGGACACTTTACAGTTCAGAGGAGTCTGTACATAGGGAAACGGACATCTACAGAGTGTCGCGCCCCGCTTTTCAGCCCCAGCTATCCCCTCACAGTGATAAGTTAATGCCCCTATTACTGTCTGAAAGTGAAATTCAGAGCAAAATCTTTTATGCGTATAACTGCAAAATGTTGATGGAACTCATTTACATAACATGGAAAGGAGCCAGGCCATTTAATCCCAGAACTCAAGAGGCAGAGACAGAGGCAGGCACATCTCTTGAGTCTTTCCAGGCCAGCCAGGGCTACATAATAAAATCCTGTCTCAAGAAAGAAAAAGAAAACTGGACTTGGTGGCACTTGCCTTTAATCTCAGCACTCAGGAGGCAAAGGCAGGCAAATTTCTGCGAGTTCAAGGCCAGCCTGGTCTACAAAGAAAGTTCCAGGACAGCCAGGGCTACACAGAGAAACTCTTTCTTGAACCACCCCATGCAAAAAAAAAAAAAAGAAGAAGAAGAAGAAAGAAGAAGAAGGAAGGAAGGAAATGGGAATAATTTGTAACCAAATACTGTATCATCATGATATGTAAATATTCAGTTGACTAAACCAGAATAATTATTTTAATTTCAATGCCCTGACTACTTCCTAAAATGTCATCTGAGGCATGTTATTATCCATTAAAACCACTGACCTAATTACTTCAAGACTCCCCCTATCTTATGCTTCTTACAGCTTTATGGAGAACGCAGCTTTTTAACTGAGTCATTTCCCGCAGGACTGGCCGCCCAATCCGCTTCATCCTGGAGCGTGGTAATGACATGCTGATAACTGCTGGCCGCCACCCACTCCTGGGAAAATACAAAGTGAGTGAGATCCCCGGAAGGTCAGCAAACTGCCGATCAACCCGCATTAACAACCATGTCTGGATGCCACAGCTCTGCAGAGGGATGTTTGAGCACAGCTAGGCAGACCCTCGTGGATCCTGTTGAGATGATGTTTCTCTGGTGGTGGTCATAGCCAATCGTGAGCACAGCCTAAGCATGGGCTGACAACTATGGCTAGGTGTGTTTGTGCACAGCACAGTTTGGCTGCAGGGAAAGGCTGCTGACGAAGCCCTCTTCCTCGTTATCACTTTGCAGATCGGGTTCATGAACAACGGGGAGATCAAGGCTGCTGACGTGGAGTATTACGTCAATGGAGGATGCACGCCTGATGAGTCTGAGATGGTAAATACGCCCTCAGGAAAGCCCATGGTCCTTACTTTATCTGCACAAATACTTGTCTTACAGCTGACCAATTCCGAAAAAGAGTTTAAGTTAAAGATAAAATTCAAATCAGTGGCTTGAAATCTTGATGACAGATGAAAAGTTCTATTTGTGTTTTAATTCAGGTGATAGAGTTTATTGTGCTGAAATCTGAAAACGCATATTGTATCCCAAATTTCCGGTGCCGGGGCAGGGCTTGCAAAACCAATTTGCCATCGAACACAGCCTTCCGAGGATTCGGTTTCCCTCAAGCGACAGTGGTAGTCGAAGCCTACGTAACTGCGGTGGCAGCTAAATGTAACCTACTCCCTGAAGAGGTGAGCAGTGGAACCTGCTAGTTAAACACTGGCAATACCATGTGGGCTGTATCTTGGGCTCCTACAATAGCTACTTATAGTTTTAAGAAAATAAAATTCGTCCATTATCAGTGAAAATTTTCTATTGTGGTTAAGTCAACCACAAACCTGGTAGCTTCGAGCAATGATACTATGCTTATGATTGCTTATGATTCTGGGGGCCGCTTGGGGGCTCTTCTGGTCTGGGCCAGCTCACTGGACACTCTGTGGTTCAAGATGGCTTTATTGACATTTCTGATGAGCATTTGACCGGCTTATCTATGACTCACCTGAGAAGTGTGCTGCCCAGTCTCTCATTCTTCAGTCAGCTAGCCCAGATTGAGTCTCATAGGGGGAGGAGTATCACAGAGTTCCAAAGAGCAGGAGGTAAGTGGTGTGCCCTCAGCCACAGACACTTTCCAAGTCGGTCTACATCACTATGTACGGTCCCATCATGCAAAGCAAGTCACAAAAGGCAGTCCAGAGTCCGTGAGAAACTACCAGACAGAAATTGGGTAGGATGGTTGCAGCCTTTGGTGCAACATCTTGTCACAGTTTAAGACTTTGAAGAGAGATGGAGATATAACTCACCGGACAAGCACTTGCCTGGCTGGCATGTGCAGGACTCTCAAGAGGTAAAGTGGGAATAATTGGGAGTAATTAAGAATTCGAATCAGGAGAATTTCACCTTGCAAAACAAATTGATAGCAAGACTAGTAATAACCCTACTGTTTCTCAGGGTTATTGTGAAGTTCACTGAAATGCTTACTCTAGAACCTGGAGCACATGAAGTATTCATTAGTAGTTTTTATTGGGTTTTTGTTGTTGTTGTTGTTGTCATTTTTAACATATACATTTGCATATTTCTACACTTGAGGGGTTTTTTTAGACAAACTTTCTCCATATCTGACATGTAACAAAAATGCATGCATGTTCTCGCCTCTTAGGTTAAAGAAATAAACATGTATAAGCGAACTAGCAAGACAGCCTATAAGCAGGCGTTTAATCCGGAGCCCTTGAGAAGATGCTGGAAAGAGTGTCTGGAGAAGTCATCGTTCTATGCTAGGAAGCAGGCTGCAGAGGAATTTAACAAGAAGAATTATTGGAAGAAAAGGGGGCTTGCTGTCATCCCCATGAAGTATAGCATTGGGATCCCCACAGCCTTCTACAATCAGGTGAGGCAGAAGAGCGGCGTGCCCCTCAGAGCCCTTCTCCAAATGGTTGGCTCTCTGGAAAGGGCTCGTGTATGATAAGCAATTGTATAAAAGTTCCTATATAATAAGCAATTGTGTTGTCCCCACTGGAGACCGAGAAATGAAGAGTAGTTCGTTCCCTTTAGCAGGCAAGAGCATGGACGTAGCCGAGGGCTGGGCCCATGGATATCGGGACAGACCTTCAGGATACAGTCGGTATTTAGGGCCTTGGAGAGCATCAAGCACAAGGTCCTGCTCAAAGGGACCCGTTTGAGGAGCCACACCCTGATGTACTGAATGTCAGGCCAAGTTTCAAGAGCAAACTGGGATGAGCGAAAAGACCCCTTCCTGGCCTCCTCTCTAATTTCACCGTTAACTGGTTTTTCATGGGCTTCAATTTCCAGCTTAATCTTTTCCTTTCCACCCTGTTAAAACTTTACCCTATGCTAGGCACCTGGCTTTGGCCACCTATCCCATCTCTAGACTTCTAGTCCCCCTGTACAAAGTGAAGAAGACAGACTAAATTAATGGAACCCAAGCCTGACCATAACCAACGTCCTGTGGGAGCTTGTTAAACCTGGGTATCCAGGCCGTACTGCCAGCCTGCAGCTGAGCAGGGTTATCCACACTGGGGCACACGCTCATCCCTCACCCACCATCATTCTGAAAAACAGCCTTTGGAAACCATGAAACATCTCCAGGGCCTTCCAGGGCCTCCAGTATCCAGGAGAAGGTGTGCCTGGAAATTTACTCGTGTGGGTTCCAGTAAGATGTGTTAAATCGATTTCCACACCTGGTGAGCAAAGAATTATGAAGCATTGTTTCATTATTGAAATAGTCAAGGTTGAGGCCTTGAAGAGACAGATGCTGGGGACCAAAGGAGAGGGAAATACACACATCCAACATCTAGATTGATGGTTTCAGGTCCAGGGTGTCTTGCAAGGGGTTGTCTGTGGCTCTCTTACCCACAATGAGAAATGAGAGATTGGTTAAATCAAAGGAAGTGGTTCATCCAACAGCCTTGAGTGAACTCAAAACCACCTTTGGCTTTCATCAGTTTCCAAACTGGTATGACAATTGTCTCTTCCAGGCCGCTGCTCTGGTCCACATCTACTTGGATGGCTCAGTCCTGCTGACCCATGGTGGCTGTGAGCTGGGACAAGGCCTATACACCAAAATGATTCAGGTGAGATAAGTATTTGTGTTCTCCATTGTGAAGTGGATCGGATTGTACAGGCAACGGGCCAGTTTTCCCGTGTGGAAGCAGAGAGATCACACACGCTGCACACACAAGCCATCCCAACTCATCCAGACTTTCAGGGAGGCAAAAATGCAAGGGGGTGAGGGAAGGGGACATAGAACAGGAAATTGGATGTCATTCTTCCTGCATCAAAAGGAATGATGAGTCCGTGGGTCTTTTGGCAGAGGGGGGAAGATTCAGTTTCCAAAGATAAAACACTTTTTAAGTTCATAGTGACTACTCACAGCAATAATGTGTTCCTTCAGATCCTCAATTAGCAATTCATGTTTCACAGGCTGAAAACCTAAGCTCTTGGGCGGTCACCCTCTGTGAGGCTGAACCGTGAGCTCACTCTAGACACAGCTGCCAGCCTGCTTAGAGGTTTGGGCAGGCCAAGCACCTTCTATTCTGAAGTGAATGGCGGGGGAAGGGCGAGAAAAGAGTCCTCACTCAGCTTTAGGAATCCATTCACGTGGCGGGCCATTCACATGGCGGGCCATTCACATGGCTGGCCACTGTTCCACAGGATAACTCAAAGCATCTCTCTACCACTCTACGAGATCATCGCAATGGGAAATCTTCCTTTCTTTGTTTTAATGTGGAACAGCAATTGCTGGATATGACATTTGATTGAAAGTGTTTGTGGGGGGATGAAGGGGGACAAATGGGAACACAATATGAAGACACATGTATAGGGGCTGGAGAGATGGCTCAGCGGTTAGGAGCACTGGCTGCTCTTCCACAGGACCCGGGTTCAATTCCCAGCACCCACATGGCAGCTCACACCTGTTTGTAACTCCAGTTCCAGGGAAGCCTCATACAGACATACATGCAGACAAAACACCAATGCACACAAAATAAAAATAAATAGATTATTTTTTAAAAAAGACATGTGTATGAAGACACATGACAAAACCCACTGCTTTTTATGTTAACCTAAACCACTGGTTTTCTTACATTGTGTGTGTATGTGTGAATATGTGTGTGTGTGTGTGTGTGTGTGTGTGTGAGAGAGAGAGAGAGAGAGAGAGAGAGAGAGCACCATTACAACGTGCATGTGGAGGTCAGAAGGCAGTGGGTAGGGAATCAGTTATCTCCTTCCATCCTGTGGGTTTCAGGCAATGGGGGTTGTCCAGCTCGGCAGCAGGCACCCTTACCCACTGAGCCATCTTGCCAGCCCTAAAACATTGTTTGTTTGTTTTTAATATGTATGAAAAATGCTCATCAATAAGCAACAACCTCCCCAGGAGACATAGAGAAGAGACAAATTCTTTAAAAAATAAACACTATTTGATAAGGTTCCTAGAACTAGAAAACCACACAGAGTTCCAGGACCCTCTCTGACCGCCATACTTCCTAAGCCTGTGAAGCGTCTCTGAGGAAAAGAGCCCGCCAAGTCATCTGTAGACCAGGAGGAGAAGGCGCACTGGAGACAGGAAGCCCAGGGCTTCACGCCACCTCCTTGTGCCTTCTGAAGCCTGTGTGCCGAGTGGCCACGCCTCTGCATGGCTTCCCTGAGGCAGGTACACAGGGAAGCACAGAGAGGCTGTCCAGTGTGTCCTTGACTGTGCCATTTGAAACCAAGACTCGGCCTCTGTCCCCGTGGCAGGGGCAGCCAGGCTTCATGCTCAGCTCTAGAAAGAAGGTAAGCTGTTTCACTCGGAAGAGGGCTTAAGGTCATTGAAGTCAACGCTGTTTTTGTTCTGCCTCGGCAGGTGGCCAGTCGGGAGCTCAACATCCCACAGTCATACGTGCACCTGTCCCAAACCAGCACTGTCACCGTGCCCAACGCTCTCTTCACCGCCGGCTCCTTGGGGACGGACGTCAATGGGAAGGCCGTACAGGTGACTTTTTTTCTTTGTGGTTGAAGGGCCCTGCTGCCCTTGTTCTTTAATGGAGGATGTGACAGAGGTGACAAGTTCTAGTCCACGCAGCAAATTCTGGCAGAGCCGAGGCTCCGTGCCCGGGTTTCTGAGGCAGTTTGGTGCTTCCCGGCATGGACTGTCGATCATAACCCGTGTTCGGTTGCAGCGACCTCCTTTTGTGTTGCATCAGAACACACCAGAGCTATGCGGGGAAGGCCCATTTTGGGCTTCACGGAGAGTTTGGGCCGAAAAGCTAATCTCTTCAGGAACCCATTTCCTTTCCTGGAAAACTGAGGCTGCGGATGCCACCTCCATCAGAGAATTGTTAGTAAATTACAGCTGTCACCTCCTCCCTTTCTACCCCCAAACTCTAGAAAAGCACCGGGGGGCTATTAGACTCCCACAAAGACCATCTCTACAAACTGGCCACACCTGGATGAAAAGGGAAGCTTCCACACCACCAAGTGGCTCTGTGTGTCATGGGAACCATGGTTTCCCAGGATATGCTCCTCGGGACAGGGGCTAGGCAAAGTACTGGGTGGAAAGGAAAAGCATGCATTCTCTGGTCACTGTGTTTGGAAAAGGTTTCGCTCCCCATCCGACTCAAAGAGGCCTGTGATGCCTGTCTGCACAGAGAGGTCCTGATAAGCCCCACAGTAAACATATCTACTTAGCATTGTCTGGCTGTTCTTCCTGAGGTTATTTAACCATAAAAGCATTTTAATTCATATCCTTCTTAACAGCTATGGGAACCAACACCCAAGGAAATGCCCTGGGAAATTCCAATTTTGCTAAGACCTGTAGGTTACTGCCTTCATTTTGCACATTACATTCAGATATAAAGGTAGGCGTTGTGTGGATATCATCAGGTCACCTTTAACACAAAATTAAGTTCTTCCTCTGAAGCCCAATACTACAGCCAAACTGTGCGACAGTCCTTCCATACTCCGTCTGCTTCCTCTGGCTTGGACAGAAATGTATCCAGCAGGGATGGAGGGTCCTCTGAGCAGGGAGGGCTGGCAGTTGCCCTTCCTGTCCTTCAGACCCTTGGCCATGCTTTGCTGAACTTCCCTTGTGGGTTATGAAGAGTTCCAGCTTCCCGTGGGTCTAGATTTTTGGCCAATCAATGACCGCATCAGATTTTCAAAGGAAGCCGGTCCCTGAGGCCAAGGTTAAGTTGGCTCCAGACTGTGAGTATATATAAGTTATTACCTGGCTGGTAGGGCAGAAAGGGTAAAGGTAATTTCAAGACCCTGGCACTCTTTTAAAATCCAAAATCTTTGGTATCAGAGTCAAGGCAATGACTATAAATAGAAAAAAGATGCCATATAGAAAAATCCTCATTCACTTTTAATTCAAAGCAACATTTGGCAGGTTAAGTAAATCAGCATATACTTAAAATACTAAAATTAAGAGCTAACTCCCAGTCAGACCCTCAACAGGTATATCTGTCTGTCTGTGTCTATGTCTGTGTGTGTGCATGTGTGTGTGTATGTGTGTGTGTGTGTGTGTGTACACCTATTGAGTTGTTTATAAATATAGAGGACTAGGGATAGCCAACTCAAACTTGGGCAGCGGCCAGAGTTGGTAGATGTGTTCCCTAATCTCTCAAGATACTGCTATAGCTTCATTAGCAAGGAGAGCATGGTGTTTGTGTCCAGGCTGGAAAGCAGAATACCAGAAGAGAAAGAACCACAAGCATCCAGTTGACCTCAACAACACTGACCCTACAGTAGAGCAAGCCAAGAATGGCTGGGATTAGGTAGTAATGATGCCTTTGGTATTTACTTACAATATCCAAGGCACAGAAAGAAGTCCAGACTGTGTGTTGGTCTCAGTGTAAATGCTGAATGAACAAAGCTTTTAGATTAAAGGGGAAAAGAAGGAGAAGATGACTATGACCAAGAGGAGGAGGAGAGGAAGAAGAGGAGGAAGAAGGAGAAAGAGAAGGAGGAGAAGAAAGGAAGGAGGAAGAGAAAGAAGAGGAAGGAGAAAGAGAAAGGAGGAGGAAAAGGAGGAGGAGGAGGAGGA